CTACTTGGCAGGCTGTTGAAGAGAAAATGTCGCTCAAAGAGGATGAAGACGTGAGTTCTTTGTGAACTCAACGAAATGTGTACTGAGATCAATGTTTTAGCAGGAAGAAAAAGAAGAGAAACATGATTGGGATTGGCAAGTACGACGATTGCTGATGAAAAGGGCAGCTGTACGTTTGCTGCTGAGGGGAGTGACAAGCAGATCTGCTGCAAATCAGAAGAAGTTGGTTGCATTGTCTATATTGGAATCTTTTGCTCATCTTTACTTATTCGGATTCTTCATGGTGTTTTTTTGCAGCGTCAGTCGGAACCATGTCTTCGAGCATTACGGGGCAAGTGGAGCTCAACCATCAGAATGTGCTCTGTGTCGTTTCCCGCTTTACGGAACTGTTGTTCGTACAGGTAATCTTACATCTCTGAATTTATTCGTTCTGACAAAGTTTTGACGTCCTTGTCAGTACTTACTTCATTTCAAACCTTTGCCAAACATCATCGTTTGCAATGTTTATCCTTTTCGTCCATTGTTGGATTGATCAGTTCTTCTAACAACTAATTACTAGGCCAAAGATGTCGTCAATGTGGAGTGATAGCGCACGATAAATGTATCGTCAACATCACTTGGCCGTGCGATTCTCGTATGGCAGCAGTTTTACCGCGGACGATACCGGAGCAATCGCTTCCACCCACTCCTTCCAAATCTGTAGAACCACCGCAAAGTACGGTAGTGAGAAGTGAAACCATGCTCAGTGACATTGGTGAAGGTGGGTAACAGACTCTTCTTGCCGAATGCTCAAAATGTAGTTGCTTCTTTTGACTCCACAAAGTTGCATGATGAGGGCTCACAATCTCAGTTATTTTCCATCGAAGACGTCTCGGATGACTATTTATCCAAGTAGAGCTATCCCTTATGCAATTTGTAATTCAGTATGTGAGTCTGCCACACTATGCGCGGCAATAGACGACACCCTTACTAGCAGCTCCTTGATAGACCTTTTCTAGAGTAAACTAGACAAATGTACTACTAACGAATACTTATCTGATGAAAACAAAAGGGAACTAAACGAAGGGAAATCGTTGGAAAAGCAGGATCTAATATCAAAAGTCGTCAAGTAACGCGCATGGTCTGCAATATGCATGACAAATTGACCTTACGATACATTACTTTTAGCATCTCCAAGCAGCTACCTCTATGAAAGTGCTTTTCCGAAGAAAAATTCTGTGATTTCAGAAGTTTCTATTCTAATCTTTTCAGCAAACAACGGCCGAACATTGA